ATGGATTAACGAGATTCCCACTGTCCCTATCTACTCCCCCTCGTGGGCTGTGACTTTGTCGCAGTGAGGGGGCCCGAGTTCCGTTGGGTGGCAAGCCAGCCACTTGACGGAGCCGCTAACAACAGCCCAAACAAACAATTACAATGAGCGGGACTAAAACGTATAGTTATACCCCAGGTGGTACGGACTCCAAAGAGTCCCAATCCACCCCTAGCTCGTATCGGGTGAAAGCCCCGGTCGCTAGTGGCAGCCCTTTGGATTCTGGGGAGGGCAAGAACCGCGAGTTAAGAGAATTGGAGGAAAGAGAGAAGGAGCTGAAAGGTAAAATGGAAGGGTTATACACGCTGCTAGACGAGATAAATAAAGAGCGAATTTCGATTAAAGCACCCCCTAAGAAGGCTAGTGCAAAGGAAACGGAGAAATACCAAGAGGAAATGAAAAAAAATCACAAGGAATACATGTCTGCCAAAAAAGACCTAGAGGCAAATAAGGAAGAGCGTGAAAAGGTAGTGGAGGAAATGAATAGATTGAAGGATCAGCTGGTATTGGAAGCGGAGCGTAAAAGGGAACAACAGCAAAAAAATCGGAGAAGGGATAAGGAGCTGGAAATTAGGCTGGAGGATATAGAAAGGGGTAAGGCCAAAATGAAGAAGGCAGGAAAGGGTTCAGAGAGGAGTAGGTCGAGTTATGAGGAAGATGACGAGGACGAGGATAATAGTAAAAAAGGGAACGAGAGTGAAAAAGACGAGGAGGAGGAAAGGGTTGAGAAGGAAGATGATCAGGAAGAAAACTCGGATGGAATGTCGCAGGATGTGGAGATGAGCGACGAAATTGTCCCAAGCCATAAAGAATATAGTAAGGATAGGAAGGTTCAAAGAATGATGGAGAGGTACCAGAGAATGAAGGAAGCGAAAGAAAAAAGGGAAGGAAAAAGGAAAGAGTTTATTGAAAGATTGAGAGAGACATCTACCTCAATCTCGGACTATATGGCTAGGGACGACGCGAAAATAAGCAAGCAGTCTGCGGGGCAGTTAATGAGAAGGGTGTTTGAGTACCATGAGCTGGTTGCTGACCTGATTGCTTCAAACAAGGAATTGGAGGCGCGTTTAGAAGAAAAAGAGGACCAGAATGAGAAACTATGGGAAATGATAGGCAGGAAAAGTATGGAAAGGAGATGCGAGAAGGTAATAATGACAGACGAGGACGAAGACAGGGGAAATGCTGACAAGGATGGGAAAAAGGAAATGAGGAAGACGTATGCGGTGGTCGTTAAGAAGAAAGGGATAAAAGAGGCAAAGGAACTTGAGAACAAACTGTGGGATGTTGCAAGCAAGGTGAGGGTGAAAGTCAACAGAGTGAGGAGAGGTAAAGACGGGCAGGTAATTATGGAGATGGCTACGGAAGAGGATAGACAGAGAATAATGGGGGAAAAGAAACTAAGGGACAGCGGCATAGAAGTGGAAAAGATGAGGAAGTACTTCCCATTAATTAAAATAGGAGGGGTAAACAGGGAAATGAAGGATGAGGAAGTGTTGGAAAATTTGTGGGAAAGGAACCTTAAGGAAGATGTAACGCAGGAGGAGTTTAAGAGTACGGTGAAGGTGAAGATGAGGCTTGGGAGAAAAGATTGGTCGACAGGAAGTGTGGTGCTTGAGGTTCCTCCCCGCCTAAGAGACAAGCTTCTTAAAGAAGGGAGGGTATATCTGGGATGGAGGGTACACCAGGTCAACCTATTCGAGCAGCTGATGCGATGCTTGAAATGTTATGGGTTTTCTCATAAGGCAAAGGAGTGTAAGTGTAAGGAAAGATGCGGAAAATGTGGAGAAGAGGGCCATCAAAGGAAAGACTGTAGGAATGAGATAGGATGCGCGGTGTGTAAAGCAAGAAAGAAGGAGGGAGGGCACAGTGTTTGGTCGATGGCGTGTCCAGAAGTACAGTGGAGGCTCGAGCGGTGGAGAGAAAGAACGATGGAATAGGAGCAGAGAGGGAAAGGGAGGACACAGTTTGCTATCAAAGTGATAGTAAACCTGTGTTGGCTGTGGAGTGGTGGGACGTCACGTACTCCTCTCGTATGAGAGGAATCGCGTGACGTACCTGCCCGAAGAAGAATATATGGCTCATTGTTTTGTTTTTATTTCTGTATGTAAGGAGAAAAGGAAGGAAATTAAAACGGTAGGAAAATAACAGGGAAGATTGAAAAAGAGAGAAAGAAAATAAGATGCGAGAGATTGAGATCGAGTCGAAAAACGCAGGGGGGTGCCCTTGGGCACCTTCGGGTCTAGCGGTCCCGCGAACCCGAGCTGGCTCACCAGGTGCCGGGGAGACAAGTCCCCAAACCTGGGAGAGGCCCCTCACGGGGTCTCGAACGCCGACTGGGCGCTAAACAGTACCGCGGGGTCGGGGAGCCCCCACGGAGGTAAAACTTCGTGGCCCCGACACTGGGAACGGACTCGCGGGGGCAGTGGTTACCACCCTACATCGCTTGGGGTAGTGGACGGGTTGAGTGAAGGAGCTGTGAGCGTAACAGCTCTAAGCAGCTCTGGATCTGTTACCTGTCCACGACGTGTGAGTTGCGGCCTCAACTCGGGCGCCGGCCTGCATAGCCGGTAGGGGTAGAATAGGCCCCGCCCCCCACCGAGGGGCCCACTGGAAGCTTGTCCCTTCCAGTGGGAATTCGGTAGTCGGGGGTGACTGAGTCGTCGGGTTCCTGTGAGATTTCGATCTCTCGGCAAACCGGCGGCGAAGTCAGCCCCGACGCGCTGGCTGGGCGTATCCCAGCCCCACGCTAAATGGGGCCGTGTCCATAAGCCGGAAGGCAGGTGGGGCACGTTAAATCATCCGGAATATATATATGTCCCTATCTACTATTTAGCGAAACCACTGCCAAGGGAACGGGCTTGGAAAAATTAGCGGGGAAAGAAGACCCTGTTGAGCTTGACTCTAGTCTGGCACTGTAAGGAGACATGAGAGGTGTAGCATAAGTGGGAGATGGCAACATCGCCGGTGAAATACCACTACTTTCATCGTTTCTTTACTTACTCGGTTAGGCGGAACGCGTGCGCCTGGGATCCATATCCCGGCTGTCACGGTGTTCTTGAGCCAAGCGTGTAAGAGTGGCGTTCGGCCTCGGCCGTTCGCCAATTGTACTCCCGCGTGATCCGATTCGAGGACACTGCCAGGCGGGGAGTTTGACTGGGGCGGTACATCTGTCAAAGAATAACGCAGGTGTCCNACGGAATAAGTGCGAGGACCGCCAGATGATGCGTATGCGGAGCCCATCACCGTCGTCGAGTCTCGCTGCGACGTTTGCTCTTGACGAAAATAGTGCGAGGATCGCCAAGTGATGCGCATGGACTCGGCGCGACGAGTCCCGTTGCAGTGCTCGCTTTTACGGAAAAAGTGCGAGGACCGCAAGTGATGCTTACGGACTTTGACAAACGGCGGCCCGGAGACGTGGCGACGTCGAGACGCTGCGACTGCACGGAGTCAAGTCCGCTCGGCCGAGTGCCACGACCGCGACGAGAGCGCGACTCATCGAGCCGAGTGCTACGACCGAGACTCGGCCAGCCGAGGGATACGACCGAGTGCGAGCAGTCGGCAGTCCGCGCGCGAGCTCCGCCGAGCCGCGTATAGGACTGCCGTATAGCGGACGCCCGTACATTTGTCCGGACGTCGGACCGGCCGAGTCGCTACGCAGAGACTTTGTCCCATAAGGCCACGGGTTAAGCCCTAGACAGCTCGGAGTATCCCGGCAAAAGTCCGAGGTATTAACATGAGGGTACCACCAGGCGAGACAGACAAGACGGTGGAGGCGCAGCACGGCGAAAGCGGCGCAGCGGTCCTCGCGGCTATAACACGTATGAGCAAAAGTAGTAGTTCAGCAAGTCACAACTACCGTTGATATTCGGACAACCCATTATTTGGCGGGTCTCTCTTCACGGTAGTCACCTCTGCTGTTCTTCACGACGCACATCACCTTAGTCGCGGCTGGGCCCCTGTCGTTCGCTCTCTGCTCTGTCTCTGCGTCTCTGTCGTTCATCGAGCTGTGCTCAAGCCCTGTGCTGCCGCATCCTCATGCAACCACACCACACAACAACGTCTCCCGCAAGTTTCGGCTTTTGGGGAGGGTTCTCTGCATTACCGCGGGTCGGCGTCTCAGACCGAATGGCCCTTTCAAGCGGTGGGCGCCCTGGGCGTCTCTTAGCGGATCTCAACACTCATTGCGCAGTAGTTGCACAGATCATGACCGAGCATCGACTCGTTTCACACCGAGCGAGAATCTATACACACGATAACAAGGCCGATCGCATTGTCGATTGCCGCACCAAGATGTCACATGTCTAGCGACGGGTAAAACAAAGTTACGTACTTTATCGCCTAACGTGAGAGACTGTCGAATCTGATTGAACCAAGTCGCCGCGTCAGTCGTGCGCTGCTCTTTCTCGCCGCCCTGGCGCGTTGATCGAGTGTAAGCGCTTATACGACTCGACCGGCGCTTAACTCTCGAAACTTTCGAACGCACTTTTATACGTGCCACGAAATTTCATTATTTCGAGCGCGTGTCAATTGTGTCACAAAAAGCGTGTCGTCGCGCGGCTTGCCGAGGGTGTGTGTGCAACACACACACTCGAAGCGGCCGCTCGGCGTTATATGCGACACTCGACGCGTGCACGAGCTCGTTTTTAAACTACGACGTGCTCGTGCTCGTGCCGATGAAATCTGCGCAACGATTCGTCGCTGCTGCTCCCGCTGCTGCTGCTGCTGCTACTGCTGCCGCTGCTGCCGCTGCTCTCAGCTTGCTGCTTACTGCTACTCGGCTACCGATCCTTCATCCTCGCTCTCGGGCGTTCATGTGTTGTTGGATCTCGGTTGGCCGTGTTTAGCGACTGGTGGCACTGTTGGCCGTGGTGGCGTGTGTGTGCGGTGTCTGTGCGGTGCGGCGGCGGAGGCGGCGACGACGGATCGGGCCCGCAGTCGATTCAGCACGAAGCTCCCTGGTTGATCCTGCCAGTAGTCATATGCTTGTCTCAAAGATTAAGCCATGCATGTCTCAGTGCACGCCGAATTAAGGTGAAACCGCGAATGGCTCATTAAATCAGTTATGGTTCCTTAGATCGTACCCACATTTACTTGGATAACTGTGGTAATTCTAGAGCTAATACATGCGAACCAGAGTTCCGACCAGAGATGGAAGGAACGCTTTTATTAGATCAAAACCAATCGGTGGCGGGCTCGCTCGTCCACCGTTTACCTTGGTGACTCTGAATAACTTTGTGCTGATCGCACGGCCCAGTGCCGGCGACGCATCTTTCAAATGTCTGCCTTATCAACTGTCGATGGTAGGTTCTGCGCCTACCATGGTTGTAACGGGTAACGGGGAATCAGGGTTCGATTCCGGAGAGGGAGCCTGAGAAACGGCTACCACATCCAAGGAAGGCAGCAGGCGCGCAAATTACCCACTCCCGGCAAGGGGAGGTAGTGACGAAAAATAACGATACGGGACTCATCCGAGGCCCCGTAATCGGAATGAGTACACTTTAAATCCTTTAACGAGGATCCATTGGAGGGCAAGTCTGGTGCCAGCAGCCGCGGTAATTCCAGCTCCAATAGCGTATATTAAAGTTGTTGCGGTTAAAAAGCTCGTAGTTGAATCTGTGTGCCACGCTGTCGGTTCATCGCTCGCGATGTTTAACTGATCAGATTGTTGGACGTCCTACCGGTGGGCTTAGTCTTTCGGGACGGCCCAGCTAATATCCCATCGCGGTGCTCTTCATCGAGTGTCGAGGTGGGCCGGTACGTTTACTTTGAACAAATTAGAGTGCTCAAAGCAGGCTATGTTCGCCTGAATAATTTGTGCATGGAATAATGGTATAGGACCTCGGTTCTATTTTGTTGGTTTTCGGAACCCCGAGGTAAT